CGCTCGTTTCCAAATGACTATGACACTCCGTCCTCGGCTAGTTCGTACACAAGAAAAGCCAGCATTTGCATCTACGGGGACGCCCAACGCGCGCAAAGTAGCTTCCTCAAGCGTCCCTCCTTGCAGGGCAGGACCTCGGTGCGAAAGGATCCGGATGCGCCGCGTTGAGGGCGAGGCACGGCGCCCCGCCTGGTGTCCCCAACCTCCACGCGTGCAACCCCGCTCACGAGAGAAGACGACGCGAACCGAGCTCGCCAGGTGCCCTCCCTTTGGCGCTCTCTGCGGGCTTTGCGGAGCGCGGTGTAGCAACCCCTCCGAAAGCGAAAGTGCCGCTGTCCCGGCGATGCTGGCAGCCCGGAACCCCGTCGTAAATTGGCGGTGCGCTCTCTCGGTGTAGCCCGGCCTTTGGCAGCGGTAGGCCGCGGCGGGGTTGTTCCGCCGACTCGGCAAAAGAGGCTGACCAGCTGCTGTCTCTGCCTGGTACCTCTGACCCCTGCCGGAACGATACCGCACGTGCTCGATCGCTTTGACGCGAGAGGAAGCTTACGCGTTGTCTCGGAATGCCCGTGTTGCCTGGTTACTTGAAACCGGCTTGGTTATCCCTACTCAGCTGTCTTAAGGCACTACAATTTTCATTCACGTCAGATGAGTCTTAGACTTTTTGGGATCCGTTGAACGCGACGCACAGTCGAGAACTAAATACATTATTCGCAACTTTTATAACATATAGGAGGCGCACTACTTCCTATCAAAATGACTGTCATCTCGATGATCATTGTAGAACATCAGTACCAGGCTGGGTCGTCTGCGCGCAAGTTAATTTCGTTTTGCTAAATACAAGCGATATAGGAGCCTTACCTTTTGCATCCACGTCGGGAACGTGTAAGCGAGCAGTTTCATTCTGAAACCGATCATCCAGGGACCAGGAGTGAGGGAACGCGATGCTCAAACCATTGCTACTACAGGGTGATTGAAGGAGACGCCTGACTCTTTAAATCGACCGCAAAATTTGGTTTCTTAACCTATCACGCGACGAATATGTGCAGCGCTGCCCACAGATGGTGCATTTTTTTTTTTTTTTGTAAAATTTGCAAAGAGGGAATTTACCTGAGGAAAAAGTAAAGAAAGAAAAATGCTTAGCTCCTATGGAAACGCAGCGAAGCCACCGGTCTGCAAACAACACGGCGCCGTTTCGCACGGGAGAGAAGAGATGGCGCAAGCGGTTGCGACGCCAACTGCCGCCAACGAACGAGCATACGACGCTGATAGCCGGCGTCTTTAGCAGACAAGGAACTGCAGTTCCTTGTTGTAACCGCGACTGTTTTTGAGTTTCTGCGACTGTCGCCGCCTGCGGAACGCGCGCCGCTTTTGAACCGAAAAGCTTGTCTGCTAAAAACGCCGGCTCTCGGCGCCGTATGCTCGTTCGTTGGCGGCGTTTATTGCGCCATCTCTTGTCTCCTGTGCGAAACGACGCCGTGTTGTTTGCAGACCGGTGGCGTCGCTCTTTGCAAATTTTACAAAAAATAAATGCACCATCTGTGGGCAACGCTGCGCAAAGTCGTAGCGCGATAGGTTAAGAAATCGAATTTTCCGGTCGATTTAAAGAGCCTGGCGTCTCCTTGTATCACTCAGTATATATATATATATATATAATATGGCCAGTTGTCTTAGTCTATTCACTGTGTGCATTTAAACTCCCCATCCAAATCTCTTGACGAGGAAGCAGACACTCCCCCAGGAGGACCCGGCCCCCTCGCCGCACCTGGGTCTCAGGCACAAAAGGGACGCCAGTGGGCCGTGCAGGCCTTCCATACTTGCAAGCATCTCTGCCTCGTTTTCAGAGTGTTTCTGTGCAGTCTATACGAGACGTTGAAAAGTGGTTCAATATACAGTGCTTTAATATGGCCAATTGTTTGAGACACGATTCCTCGAGATTTTTGTAACATTCAAAACGGAGTGACAGCTTCGCTTTCATTTATCACGCGGGAGACCTTTGTGTTTCTCGCGAGCTCTTAGCCGTCATTTCTTCACTATTTCTTATTCCCCTCGCCCCCTCTTGCGTGAAAAGTTTAGCTCTCTTTACATAAGTGGAGTGCATGCGAAGCGCCTGGATGCAACGAGGCGTGCCTCTTGAGTCATCTACAGGCGCACCATGTCCATGCTCGTAGCGGTACCGCATGGGACGGCGCAACTGGTTTGCGACGGCTCGTACCTGCGGGGAAGGGGACGCGCGTCTCCGGACACGAAGGAATGCGTCGAATGGAGCCACCGACGCCCCCGCCATATCCCCACTGCGTCCGTGGCGGAGTCGACAACGCACGCCTTAGCCAGGCGGAGAAACGGGCTTGTAATCCCGCTCAGTCCGGTTCCTTCATTTATCGTAGTTTTCACTCTGGAAATTTCCAGTCCATTCACGGCTTTCATTGTGTGCTGTGGTTGAGAAAATGTCTGACCGTAGCGCACGTGTGAGTTCAGCGGTAACGCGCTGTTTCGGGGGAGTCGTCATTTCTTCGCCGACGGAGGATGTACCGATTGTTTTTCTTTGTAGACACGTTCGTCTTTATTTTCTGTTGCCCATTTTGTTGTGACAATATGCAGCCACTCTCTCGAAGCCCCTGTGCGGGTCTCTGCGCACGCCGAATAGCTGTGCAGGTTGAGTGGACGCAACTCAACTGTTCTTTTTATACAGTTGAAACCGTCGCTGACTTGGGCTGTTTTACAAAGCAGACAACTCTGTGCTTGTTTTCAAAGGCCCGATATTTGCAATTTCCGAATAGCGCTTCACCTTCAGCGAAGTCCCTCTGATAGGAAGTGCCTGGAATACCGTGCATTAGTAGATATAAACATACATCCGATTAGAAACTTGATGAGCGTCGTCGAAAACCCCCAGATAAGTTAATTTCAGGCAGACGTAAACCTTGTTACTTGTATCTACTCTCGCAGCAGGCGGAAGGGTGACGATGCGAAAACGTGGATGATTTTCTCCGCGCTATCGCTATTTATTTTGGGTAATTAATAAAGTTAAATATGATATTTGTGGTAATTTATTTGCTTATTGATGTGTCTTTTGCAATGCTCAACGTCCCCTGCGGCTGAGAGTTGGCTCCAAAAAAGGAGTTTTGTTTTTTCTCAACTACCTTATTGGTTGGAATTTTTTCGAATATTCGCAGACACAATGTAAGTTTACTAGTAAATACTAATTTATACGAGTTTGTGCGTTTCAGAGTTATTGTCCACAAATTTAAAACTTGTTTGTAACGTGGTCAATATCCGGGGTCGCCCGTGGGTCGCTAGTGTGCTCCGGCGCTGCAGTGACCGCAGACGACTCATCGAACGCCGGCTGCAGCTGCCTTCGCCGCTGTAACCTTATAGTTTGTTTTGGTTTGTTGCAACCATCCCTGTGAAGCCCCCCCCCCCCCCCCCCCCTACTCTGTCCACCCTTCCGATTCGGCTGCCACGGCTTCTGACCGCCCGTCCTATACTAGCTAACGGCAATCGTTGCAGGATGTCTTTAGCGGTTGGTGCTTACTTTCAGCGCGACCTTGACGGGACAGTGGAAATACGTTCTACGCAAGCGCACGTAACGTATACATAACGCAATGTAGCGTAACTGGGTGATCGAGCCTTTACGTCAAAGCTTGAATGTTCTGCGCTAGTTTAACAGATAGAGATATATGGGCGTCATTGCCCGTAGGAGGCATTCTAAACTATATGTTTTCAGGGATGTCCGATACCGTGTTTTCCTACCAACGAATAAGAAATGACGACGGCCAAAAATCATGGAAGTTGTGATTCCCGCCTATGTTTAACTTTTCGGAAGAATGACCCATAAATTGCCTCGAATCCTACCTCAGGAGGAATTCGTAGTCACACGTGCAGCATCAGCGATATACGCGCAAAATGTGCGGCAATATGTTTCATTTCAATTTAAACAGATTTATCAAAAATAGTCGCGCAAGACACATTCATGCGGCCCGAGTTATACGGCCAAGGAAACGTAATATAAGAGGCTAATCCTCGCGATAATCCGAACTATTAACTAAAATTTGTTTAATAATTTTTAGTTCGGGAACATAATGATTTGGTTTAAATTAAAAACTCCTCGAGCGTTATCTAAAAGTTAAATGCATCCATTCTGGAAAGACTTGAAGCCCGGTAAGCAGGCTGAAGTTTACACGCGTGCAAACAGGCGGAACTCTGGCGTGGTTTGTAAACGCCGATGCAAATATTCCGCATTTTTGTACCGCCGACGTGTCGCCTGTTGCACAAGTGGACATGTTTGCGCGCTTCCGCGCTTACCGCCTGCTTCAAATATTTTCACATTAACTCATTTAGTGGTTTGTTGGATGAGGCTCTGCAAGTTTCTAATTAAAACCATACCTTTATTTTACCTAATTAAAACGTTAATCGACACATTTAGTTAATTATTTGAGAAACTGTGAGAATTACGCCCCTATCCCCCTGGCCATATTACTCGCCCGTACAAACCGCATTGCGTACCTTTCGTGGCTTTTTGTAAAAAAAAAAATTGACCGTATTAAAATCAAACATCCTCTATAATTGGTCCGTATCCGGGACGTCCCGAAACTTCATCTGGGTCGTGGCAAGGTAAAACTTTACTAGAAAAAAAGAAAAAAAAAAAAAAAGAAAGAAAGCAATATTCGGAAATCGTTGTTTCCTACTCTACGGCGCTATTATTATCGCGGACGAGGTAATCCTCCGTATTGAAAGTAGAAGCAGGACGCAACCGTGGCACGATCGCGAATCGTGCATGCTACCGACGGAGGAGCTATTTCTGCAATTCGGCAGCTGCCGCTCCACGTTCTGACTTGTGCCAGGCCGATGGCAGTCCTCCGTAGCTTCTGCCGGGCGGATAACGACCCCGACGAGGAAACAATGGGAAGCGGGGCTGCTCGATGGCGACAATTGTCTCGTGGGCGACGGGCGAGCGGTCTTCTCCCGGTGCAAGCCCTGATTGGACTGTGTGTGTCTCGTTGCAGTGGCCCTCCTGCCGGCGGGGACCCGGTGCCAGACGGAGCCGACCACGAGGGTAAGCCGCCTCTCTCGCGTCGGTCTTCCGGCCTCGCTCTTGTCTTCCGAACTGCAGGTCGATCCTCCCTCGCTGCCGTCTATCGGCACTGTGCGCATGCAGATCGCGCTCTGTCTTTCTTGTTCCCAATGCGTGCCAGCCTCCTCGTAGGTCTGTGCGTTCGTGAAACTGCCTGCATTCGTTTGGCGCTTATATATCTCCGCTTGCCTCTAGGCTCGTTTGTTCGTAGGTTTTTGGCGTCTGCGTACGCGCCAGTGAGTGTGATGCGCTGTAAACGCTTCCACGTGAGCTGCTTCAGTAATGCGGCTATGCAGATCCCGTCTCCGCGTGTGCCCCTCCACTCTCCGCACGTGTGTTGGTGTGCGTGTGTGTGGGACTGGAGAGCATACTTCGTAGTTCAGAGAGGGACTGAGCGCAGATGGGTCAGCAGGTCGGTAATTGCTAGATGCTGCACTTTTTGACACATTGGTCCGCATGCTCGTTCACGATGGTTTTATTGGAATCAAATCAAGTTTATTTGCCGTCACATGACAAACAGGGGACTGGTACAAAAAGCTACTAAAAACAGCTTGACGAAGCCTCCAGACCCCTCCCCAGCCCACAGATAGTAATAGCACAAATTAACATACGTGGAAAAAACCAAATCGCAAAATAACTACACATTAGTCGTATTCCATGTAACTCCGCCAAGGTTTAAAATGAATTTGGCGCATTTTAGGAAGACCAAATCAACCGAATAAGTTTGTTCATTATTTGAAGAAAGTCAGACTATTTTTGTATTATGCTCAATGAACCAATGAATTAAGATTAATGAATTAACTTCTAAAATATTCAATTTACAGCAAAAGTTATAATGACAAAGTTGTAGAGCTTCCTCAGAAACATCTGATTCAGTGATTTTTATCAAGAAACCTTAAAACTTTTTATAAGCTTCGAAAAAAACAAAAAAAAAAAAAAACGTGTTCAATATATAAAATAAGAAAAACAAAAACGTGTGACTTTGCGCATGTGCATCTTTTATTGCAGCACGGTCAGCCGTGGCTTAAATAAACTAGGCTTGCATGCTGAATAGAGCACTTTTGACTAAGCACTATTAACAAATTCAGCTTTTTTTTATATTTGGAAATTTATTTTTGAGGCCCGGAAAAACGAACCGTGCTAGAGGTTTTTTGATGGAAACCACTGAGTTGGATGTTTCTGATGAGGCGCTACATCTTTATGATTGGAAGTTTAGCTCTAAATTGAATATTTCAAGAGTTCATTATTTATCTTCATTAATTAGTTAGTTGGGCAAAATACAAAAACAAATAGGCTGACTTGCTCTAAACAATAAACAAACTTATTCGTTTGGTTTCGTCTTACTAAAATGCACCAAATATTTTTAAACCTTGGCTCAAGTTACGTGGAATACCCTGTAGATATCTACAAAAAAAAAAAAGCGCGAGAGTGATATTTTATATTAAAAAAAAAAATGTATGACGCGAAGAAACCATGCCGATAAAACAAAACTCAATACAAGTAAAGCATAGCATTATGATATCAGATAACACAATATGTTGCACGGTAAAAACGTCAACGCTATAAAGAACGAGATTGTGCTGCACAGCAAAATAACCTATATAAGCGTCACATTGAACGTATAATATTTAATGAACCTTTATATGATAGTGTATCTATATTTATCCCGTTTCTTCCTAACTACTCAGCATGGTGAACATAATAAAATCAAGTGTTTGATCATGGTAGTTAGTATTGAAAGGGTGTATCATCCATGGCTGATTATGTCTTAGGCTATGCGAAATAGTGCAATGTTTGAGGTGAGTTAACTGGTCGAAATGATCACTGTGGTGCTGCAGAGCTCAAAAGTACGTCGACAAAAGCTTGAAAATATACATTTGATGGACGGTTTTTATATTAAGGTATCTAAATATGGATTCAGTGGGATGAAGAAATGAAACGCACGCAATGGCAAGAAACTGTCTTTTGTTTTGTAAAAGATGTAATTTAGTTATATTTGTTTTTGTTGTGGTGCCCCATAAAAGGTTTAGTAAGTAATACGGGAACAAATTAACAAATTATAAATCGTTAATTTGATGTGAATAAGAAGTCTATCTAAATTTGTTAATAGGCCAACGTCCTGTGAAAGCTTCGTATGTAAATAGTCGATATGGAGCATTCCAGCTGAAATCACGAAAGAAAAACACACCCAATATTTTAATCCAATCTACAAACTCAATTTCCTCTTCGTTTATAACAAGAGAAGCAAGGGCATCTACCATTTTGTTACGAAATCTTAGCAATATAACTTTGGTCTTAATAAAATTTAATTTTAATTTATTGTTAGTTTTTATGGCCGTAATTATGCTCAGCACTGCCTGTATTGCAGAAATAGTTGTACAAACACGGGTATGAGAAAAAAAAAAAACTTGTATTATTCGTATAAATATTTATCTTGTGATCAATATCCGAGCGGTGGTAACAATATCGTTAATATACAAAATAAACAACAATGAGCCCAAAGTGCTGCCCTAGGGAACTCCCGATTTTATAGCTAGCCTGCCTAAATCACAATCATAAAAAGATACGGAATGAATTTCTATTTAGTAAGTATGATTTCCAAATGGCTAACGCTATACCCCTTTCTCAAAGAAAAAGGACAGTTTAGCTAGTAGGGTATCGCGAGTTATAGAATCAAAAGCCTTTAAATAATCTAAATATATGACAAGTGTTAAATATCGCTAGTTAAATGCCTTTACGGTAAATTGTTTTTGATTCAGTAATGCTATCTCAGTAGGACAGTGCCTACGACTGCCAAACTGTGAGTTTGATATTAAAGAATATGTTTCAAGATGCGCGGGGAACCTTCGGCATAACAGTTTTTTGCGTAGTTCAGAAAAAAGGGGAAAAATGGAAAGCGGTCTATAATTCTTTATATCTAGCAAATCACCGCCCTTGTGAAATATGCTAACCTTTCATACTTGCATCTGAAGCCGGTTTCAAATGCGAACTTATGTATATGCGTTAAATATGGCGCAAGAAGATCTATTCTATGACGTATTTGATAGGCGCTATTTGCATGTTATCAACATCAATGCTTGTGCTATCATACGACGCAAACCGTCGTATGAGTAAGACTCATACGACGGTTGTGTATACTTCTAGATCGTCAGTCGGAAGCTAAAAAAAAAAACTGTATTTAGCTGTGATAATAGCTTGAAGTCTAGTGCTTTAGTTATGCAGGTCGATGATACGCAGCACGATGCACTAACGCTTACAAAGAAATGATGAAATGCATTGGCCATGTTCGCCTCAGTGAACCTAACACTATGTGCATTAATTTCTCGAGGTACGTTATTTATATTAATTTGTTGAGGTATAAAGATTAATGTATCTTAATTTATGCTTCGCGTTTTCATTCCTTGCATAATCCAACAATTGTTTTCGTTCCGTACACGCTCGTGCCGAAAAATCCTCGCCAATAGAAAGCCGGCTACCATTTAGCCCGTACGCAAGCATCAAATCGCTTTGCTTCGTTATAAAGCACCAAACTTTACTATAATCGGTTGTCTTGATGTCGGTTTCAATCGTCCATAAATTGCGTGCGATTTATGTCAACTGATTACAGAAAGCAGCCAAGGTTTTCTCGGCATAGCGCTATCACATACCCCTCCGATTCTGCCCACGTTTCACCTTGGCTATCTTTAAGGTCGTAGAAGATAAGGTTATTGCGCTGTGACTGATTTTCCATACTATCCTGCTATATCGCAATTTGTTCTAAATGAGATTTAAAGGTTATCGCGACAGTATTTGCGATTGTAACTACAGATGCTGAGTCAACTCTGCAAGAAATAACGCGTGATATGCAATTGTTACGAAGGATTCTCATAGTCAATTCCAGTCCTTTATGCACAAAAAAAGAAAAAAGAGGCGAGTTTTTAAAAATATTTGTTCTGGCGAAAGGTAGTTCGAGTTTGTGGCAATGATCAGGACGGAGGGAGACATGATTTGCTGGCGAAAAGAAGTCCCGGTCAGTCCATGATTTACAAAATCGGTTGTGAAAAAAAAAAGATAATTTCTCTACGATGCGTTTATTCTCAAGAGGAGGTAAAGATATTGAGGCCCTGTGGTCAGAAATACTCGGGGGTAAATAGACGTGAAGGATGAAGCTAGTCGCGCGGTTTTGTACTGATGCTAACATGTCAGAAAGGTAAGTCTGATAGGGCTTCCAGAGGTTAGACGCACATTCCAACTTGGATCTATCACAGGCGCAGTGTGACAGCTGTTTGATTTTCGGTGAGGCTTGCCGTAGGTAGCGTCTAAGGATTCCTAGAGTTTTACTAGCACTCGAAGTGCTGCTTTCGATATGTGTTTTCCATGATAAATCAGAGTTTAGGTAGACGGAATGAATTCGCGAGAAGAGCGGATTGACCTTGTACAAGTTTTGGGAAGGACGACAAAGCTTCAAAAACCTGAGGTTCTTGTTTAGAAGTGAAGGGACCCAGGTTCAGCTAGAGACCCACGGACGTTAGAAGCTTCCTCCTAATTACTGGTAAAAAGAGCTCACTGTTTAGGTGTCGAGAAAACACAGGACGCGAAGAACACACTTCCAAGGTGTGGGGCATGGTACCGACATGAACAAAAGTTCAGGACTGTGACACGTGACATTGTGTCGTAGAGAGCTAACCTGAAGCGGGAAGACACATGAGCGGAATCGTTCCATTTCGGAGTCGAACGCCGGAGAAGTGCCGCATTGACACCTTTTTTTAGAGCGCTGCTCCTAAGGCACGACCATATTGGCGTCGTGGAGGCCTGCGGCGCGGCGGTCGGCGCTGCCGTTTGCCGACCCAAACCAGTTTGCGGCTTAAACGCCGCGACGTACGGCGCCGCAGAGTCAACCGCTCCGTGCGCGGTTCAGAGCCGGGCGCCGCACGCCGCAGAAGAGAGGGGCCAATGGGGAGTGGCGTAGATAGTGACGTCGCGATGCCATGGCAACGCTCAAG